CAACAAACATTGAACAGGAAGGGAAAATGTTTGAGCAATGTGTGTTGCTTAGACTTACAATGCATGCTTAAAAGGCGAAAAGGGCTGGAAGCTTTCATGATAAATGATCAATACGAACAGGATTCATCAATCCCGGTGATTTTAGAAAGAATAAGCGGGCGCAGCGAAAGTAGGAATCTCGCAAATGAACGAGTGATGACAACTACTGTCAGAGGTCTAATCGTAGTGAACACAGAAAATGATTTGGAAATTTTGAAAAAAATGAAGAGGAAAGAGAGGGTAATAGATGAACCCAACGTTAATCAAAACACATGTTGACTTCATTAGTGACGATACGAACCCCTGAATGCTCATCGATCGAAATCAGAATCGATAAGCATATGATCGATTGCTCCCCTTGGTTTCAATAGGCGGAAGCCTTGTGGCCTATATAACACAGATGAATAAGCTTGCACTGTCGTGCGCCGGGTTCGGTTGCTAACTGTTCGTCTCTCATTCGGTCAAACGATGCAGGAGTGCAGAGTAGACCAACGTCAAGATGAACAAACAGATTGGGAGTAAACTAGATGTGCACAGAAAGCAAATGAAAACATCAGCACCACCACCTGCAGCATACTGCCGCACCGCCCAGGGTCTCCAACAGTTGAGCGGGTTCGTCCCCAACCAGGATGTTCAGCGCAATCTAGACGACAATGCTCTCTGATCCATTGAAGCACACTTCCCCCGTAACGTATTTGAACAGAGAATCCATAAACAAGCGTTTGCAAAAAGTATTCTGGATCGCTTTGCTACTTCTTCACACGTGCATACTGTATTTAATATTAATATATCGTCCGAAAGTTCAAAATCAGACGCCGAGAAAGACTGCAATCAACATCACTCACCAAGATCATTCGTTACTAAGGTAGTGTCCGAGTGATTAGCCATTCATTTTGTTCACTCAGTTTCGAATCGTAATTTTGAGCGGACAGGGCCTCGGCATATTCTAGAAGCCTGGTGTTGCGTCGCTCAGCAGGACACTGTGTCGTTTCCGCCAGGCGTTGCGTGAAGGATGACCTGGGTTTTCTACAGGTCATCGTTGACGTCGTACTCCTAAGTTCTGTATAAGCTTATGCTACGGGTCCCGGTCTAATCACCATTCATCTTTTAGTTAGCATCAGGCCACAGCATACATTCGACCCGCAACGGACAGTAGTGTATACTGGCGGCGTCAGTTTCTCAAATTGTCAAAGCCCAGTCTAACTTTTCATACATCCGCTGAAACTTCCAATAGCGATTCATTCAGGTGATGAGTACCTGTCTCAGTAGGAAAATAGATGAGCATAGTCTCAAAGTAGCAGAGTTTATTACTCATTAGGCAGCGAGTGACTGTCCTAATGAATCGCTTAGAAGCAGGACTGATTTGACTACTCGTTTCACATTACAAATAGTATTTTATATAAGCCCACAGTCACGGGGATATAGTCAGTTAAGGGTAAACCATAAATTACGGGGTGTGGGAATCCACAAGGACTGTTTGAGCTTGAACTTTTTCTCGAAAAAGTGAAGGTATTTGCAACCAAAGGCAGTCGATCTAGGTACACAGTTCCGGACTAGGACATCCTAGTTGAGTGCACTTGTGATGGTGGCATAAAACCACCCACAACCCAAATGCTATCGGTTTCCTACCGATTTACTATGATTTGCATCTTTCCCCAGTGTGAAATATCAATAGAACTGCGCTTCGTGCACAATATAGCAGCGATCAGCGAAGTTTGCTTCACGATGAAAACATCGAGCGCAAATGAAGACTATTTATTAAAGAAGCGGTTATCGTTGCCGGCTGAATACAGCTGAAATCACAGTGAAAATGTGATCGTATTACCGATAAGTGCTGGTGTCGAAATGTGACATCACAAACCGCTCCAATAAGGGATTATTTCAACAAACGGAAGATTAAAGAGTATCTGCATGCATTCGTGACACTCGATTCGTGAATAGATCAACTGACAGAGATACAAACTGATTGATCTTCAATGACAGATGGTTGATATCGCACTAGTTATTATCAATATCATTACCATTTTTATATTACAGGAACCGAATTGATCGAAAAGATTTGTACACCACAAAGCATGGTACAAAGGAGAACTTCCCGGACCGTCAACAAAGAGTTCTCACATCAGGCAGCGTGTGATTCGAAATCAACAATATATGAACATTTAAATCGATCACTGAGGTATTAAAATTGTGCAAGGAACTGTTATCGGAGGGGCATCTAAAATATTTCTTCATCCTAAGATAATGAAAGTGAAACTAGCGACTAAAAGTTCGCAGAGGGGGATATAAAAACCTTAGTATGGTCGGGAGTCTTGGATCGTCAATGTTTTTCCGCCTGCAGTGCACCTCCCGAAATCCTCCCATATGACTAAGCGTCTCAAACAGCTTCTGATGCGAAAGCCCTATTTACTGCGTTCAAATGATGGGGGATTTCCCCCACCGAAGTTAGAAGACAGAAGGCCAACATCCGGAATTATAACAGAGTCAGTGAACCACTCGCAGTTCAAATAGGGGAGTTAGCTAAAACCCCGATTCCAGTTCAACTAAGGGGGGGGGGGGGTTAGAACCATACACACACACACACACAACTTCCTGATTATGGTTACCGGCTAAATGGGATATCGATGCTTATCGCAAGCTTCAGATGTGTGACCTCATCCAAGGGGTGTATGATTCCATGAACTGAACACAGGCCCCAAACGGGTTGCAGATTTCACAAATCTTTGGCTAACTAAAGGCTCCAGTTGTGAATTCTATTTGAAAAGACATTTGCTTTCGTTTGGTAGTATTCCGCTCAAGATCAAATCACGGACTGGTTTACTTTTTATAAACAACTATGTACCGCGATTTGCTCGGCACGCAGTCTCAACCTTGAAAAATATACAATAAAAATAACTATAAGCTCTATAACAGTAAATGGTGAGCCATAACAATTCAAGCCGCTCAATTTATCGATGTTTAGTGGTTTCGTAGGACCGGATTGGTCAGAAGGTATTTAACCTTCGATCTAGCTCATGAAAACCACTCGAGCATTGAGCGGAAAACACACGCGAATGCAATCCGGATAGAACTCAGGAAAGAACATTTTAAAATCCTCATCTCATTCGGCTAATTTTTTGTTAGTCAGTTGCACTGTAGTCACAATGGATACCAAGGTTATGCTATGAGGGCCTTATATAAATAAAAACGTACTACTTCTACATGCGATGGAAACATTTGTGATAACCGACAAAAAGCACTGGACAGCTGTTTGGAACCCGTCAGCAGTGCGTACTTTTTGTGTCCTCGTCAGGACTCGAACCATGAACTCTCGGGTTGGGACTTCAAACCCTTATCCCTCTTTGTCGGTTATCACAAATATTTCCATCGCATGTAAATGCATAAACTCGTGGGGAATTAACGATCTCCCAAGGAGTGAAACCCACACCCAAGTCATTCAAGATTGCCTGGTCCCTCTTAACAGTCGAATGGGTTAATCCAGGCTTGCTAATCTACTTCTACTTTTTTCTGTATTTATTGAATATGCAGTCAAATTTAAGGAGAGTGCCGCGGTCATACAAAGGCTGCCTGGAAAAATACAGAAACGGGGAAGGCGAGCGACAGTGGAGAGGTTCGAACCCGGGATCCCCGTGTCACAATTTCGTAACCTAACCACTTGGTCACCACCGCCCATAGTTCGCCACTTGAAGCCCTAGAGCTTACAGTGAACAGCAAGTCCTTGTGACCACGGAGTCAAAACCTCCGGTTCATTAAAAAGTGGTACTCTCCATCTCAAGCCTATTTGACCACATCGAGAGACTAGTGACCGATGAAGCCGTTGTTCACGATCACCAATTTATTTTTGTTCACCTGTTCCACAAATAGAACACATCCAATCCGCTCCATCTTACACACCAACCTCCCGGTCATTCGGTATCAATAAAGTTTGTCTCTTCCTGTGCACAGGGACGTTTCGCGGACGACAGGAAAATGAAATGTTTTGATGGTCAACGAGTTGGATCAGACAAGAAATCCGTAAAATGGTGATAAGTCAACCGTATGAAAGAAACAGTATACAGCGTGGCATACCAATTGCTATAGCCATGAAGAATACTAAGGTAACACGGCAGACGGTCTCGGGCATTTATTATCATGCCGTACAGTTTGCGATCAACAATCACTTGAGCAACAGTTGAAAATGACATGTAACACACACACACACATACGTACGTATATACAAGCGCATTCCCACAGCAAATGTAATATCAAGAAAAAGTAAAATTTTGCCCGATATAAATGAAATCAAACGTGATAGGAACCAATTACAAAGCTTGTTTATAAATTGGATAAGCTAGATAGAGTCATATGCAAAAACGAATAGCGAGGGGGGAGGAAGAGAGGAGACAGATGCACTGGACATGACGATGACCGTGATGTTTCTATTGATGAATGTGCTTTAGAATGAAATGGGTAGAGGGAAATAGCCGGTACAGATGGTGCCGATCTTGTTGTATGTATCTCATGCACAGATGACTTTCTTACCCGGCCGCTTTTTAGAAGAGGTGCCTGTCACATAAATATGAAGAGAACAACAGACCTGAGCACAAACTGATCAACGAGAACGGAGACTGTGGAAGAGAGAGACAGAGAGGGGAGGGGAAGTGCAGCCAACATCTTGATAACCTATTCGCATACGTGAATTGAGCACAGACAAATTATCGTTCAGGGTCTGCGATTCACCAACGATTGATTTTGACGTCACTCATTGGCATCCGGAACCCCATGTAGCTGGAAGCGCACAGGGGCATATGCAACATGAAACGACGAAGCGCAGCTGAGCAATACAAACTCGTCGTCTAGGAGGCGCCTGTCCCGTTGGTGCACCTTGAAAAATCAATCTGTATGGTTCTAGTTGAACGCATGCAAATCTATGTTGCAAGAAAAACAAACAGCAACTCCAGAGTGGTGGGGGGGAAGCGTGTTGGGAAATTTTTTGACGTGATCACAGTTGTTGTCCAAGGCTATTGTCATAATCACCATATCAACTGCTACATTTGGAGCAAGGGTGGTGGGTCAGAGGGGAACCATGAAATGTATGCAGTTCACACACCATGGCACGGCTAAACAGACCAAATGGATAGTAGTTATGAGGAATCATGGATTAAACAATGGCAAAACTGCAAGCTATTCCTAATTGAGTGGTTGCGGTTTAGGGTCGAAGGTGAAAAACAAAACGCTTCGCAATCTACCCGTGTCCGGCGACGATGTTTGGAATATCGTAGGTCAAAATGTGCCAGGAAGCAGAAACTAGAGCCACAGTCTCTCACACACACACTGGTACCCTGGTTCAAAATGTGCTGTCCGTGGGAAAACAAAGCACATTCCCGCACCCCGCCAGAATCGAAAGAAGCACAGGAGAGTAAGAGAGAGAGAGAGAGAGAGAGAGAGAGACAGGAACTTACGTGCCACGCTTGTTGGCGCCGGGGATGGAGTCACATTGGAAACTGTGACCCGGCTTAATTCGTTCGTGATATCTGCCATGTGCTCGGTCTTCTCCGTGGTACGGGCCAAACAAAAGTCGTCGATCTGAGTGTAACCAAAACAACCGTGTGAGATTTGGAACGGAACAGAGAAAGTGATAAAATCAACGCGTCTCACAATTGATTGGAACAATAAATACGAGCAACTACATACACGAGTTAAACGGGGGAAAGTATGTGGGACCGGGACCACAAGGGAGTAGTGGCCGTTTGAGGTACGTGTTCTCCCGGCTGTCAGTCATTAGGTGGAATTCCGGAATGTGTAGTTTTGTCCGCCCAAGCGATTGTATTGAATCGGGTTAAAGATCAGAGAGCATGATGTTCAGACTCATACGAGTGCACAGCAAAACTCTGCTACTGTGTTGTGATCTCTTTGCCTTTACGATTATAAGCGCTCATCACTACTCACGGTAATAGACGTTTGACAGCGATGGATTGAATCTTGGTTTGTGCGTCAGCAACTAGTTTGGCATTGTGTTGTATGGCTTCTTTACACCACTCTCCAGCCTCACGGATACCGGGGACCACACGATCATTCATCATTGTACAGCGTAATACAGTGAAGCGAACTTCACTGATCGCTGCCAAACTCATAGTGTAAACAAGGTAAGCGAGAATGTGTAAGGAGGATGGAGATTGCACTGACGGGAATGGATGGTCAACTCACAGAGTACATATTCCAACTGTGCACACATATTATTTCAAGTATTCTGGTTTGATAAGAAGTGACAACAAGATCGCCAGTTCGTAGCCATGACCTTCAGTGTCTCCAACCATGAGGTTTCGGAGTCTTGTGAACCGCATCCCGGAAGACGAGAGACACCTACTTTGCCTAATCGCTTTGTGCATTTCTTCAAGAGTAATTTTCACGTCATCTGCTAGCGTCCACGTGGCTTTCTCCAACCTGCAACAGCCACCCATTGGTGATGCGTCCGCCAGGTGAGATATAGCTGTCCAGATAGCAAAATCTTCCTCTACTACTTCCCCAGTTAGGGTGAGATTGGGTGCTGAACCAACCTAATATTGTAGCAACATTTTACACTTTGAAGGTGTAAAACGCATAGCGAACATGGCTACACTAGCACTCAAATTATGCAGAAAAGGTTGCAACTTACATGGATCTCCACTTGGTAGCACATAATGTAGTCTGCATACTCTAGATCAGAGAAATTCTAGAACTTCTAACATATGCAACTCCAGTGTACAATTTCAGTTTGACAGCATCATGATTGGGGCAGAGGGTTGAGGCAGTAATGGGGTCCCCACTTAGTTCACTAATAGCAGCAGATATATTCGCAGTCGAAATTGAGAATAGTACCCTAAACACCATCGATGTATGTGCCACCTTCAAACTGCTCAGAAAGAAAAATTAGACGAACAAAGCAAACAACGTATGGCGGTTATAGTAAATCTTATTTTGAACCGGGCATGCGAATAATGGAATAAATGAGGCGCGATTTGTCACCCACCTTTTCCTGCACTTTGAGACATCGGTCGGTGAGTTCCGCATAGAATTTCATGCCTTCTTTAACATCTCTGTCAAGAGCGAAAAACGCATCCACGGCAGCGGTCAGACGAGACACAAGACCACTGGATTCGTTTGCTGTTTTTCGACCGAAGTAGGCTTCGAATTGGACCTGTAGGTCGGACAACAATTCTTCTTGTTTGGTTTCACTGGCCCGAACACACTCACGAGAGCCTTCTAGTTGACTGTTGATTGCACTCATCATTTCCTGCTCGCCCACTTTATTCGTTTCTTGATAAGTCCGTAGAAACTGATCGACTAGAGAGGACAAAAAATCAAGCATGGATCGAACTGACATTAAAATAGGCGTCGAACACGTTCTGCTTCACTCAAATTGTGTGTTTTCACAGCGTATAATACAATAATACAAAATGGTTAATTGCTCAAATTAAATCCCCTTAAGGCAAACACGTTCCTGACGAATTGGAAGCAATTTCGCCAATAGCGCAACTCATTTATTTCGTTGAGCAATCGCTTAGTTTGGATTGCAAAACAAAATTCGTCGCAAACAAGACCAAAGGAACGCCAAGTGAAGAGCACAGAAGTTCGTGCATAAATGTCACGACCTTGTTGGCTCTCGTTCATCTTTCATCTGTGATGGAGGGTGCTTGAGACCTTGCAGGTCGGATGCCAGCGCATCACATACTTTAATTTACTTCCATACACCTGGTACCATGAATCGAATAAACCGGTTTCAAGCAGACAATGAACGATAGACGTCCCCAATGTCAATTGCTCTTGTTCGAGCGCAAATCGCGAGCCATTGCACACTGGCTGACCGCAAAACAGCAGTGTGTTGACGAATGGTTGTCAACTGCTTCTCAAGAGTTTATTTACCAGGCCCAGGTGTGCAAACTGAGCGATCGCCACGCTAACATATTCAAGGTAATCAATCACACTGCACCAGGTAATAAAAATGACGTCTGTAATTTCGAGAGGGAAACGAATAGCACATTACGACACAATTGACGTCCTGGAGTGCCATTTACTACAGAGAATTGCACCGTTTGTAGATGCGACCACACGAAAACAAGGCAAAAAATGGCTAAGAATAGTGGAAGAGCGTTACCCAGGTTGAGTAAGTACTTGCGATCATTTCATCCATCATGAATAGTCGAGTATTATCAGTTCTATGGATGCGTAGCATTGCACGAGTATAGTGGGGAAACCGAACGGGCAATGCTGAGGTTAGGCGCAGAGTTTTGGGTAACCGTTGTCGCCCACNGGTAAACGTGGTCGCCCACTGTAGCAAGTGGTCGACCTCCATAGATTACGCTGGTTGGGACGTGTTACACATATCACCAGATAGATTGCCACGGCGAGCGATGTTCGCCTGGCATGACCAGGAGACTGGCTCACATAGGTCCCGTTAGGCTCCCTGGCTGGGGACCTCGGGATGATCGTATAACCGATGATCATAGACACCGAGTGACATGGTTGGGTATCGTAAACAGTGGCGCTTATGCATCTACTCATTATTCTTGTAACTTCAGTCTATGCAAATGCGCCATCTCCTGCTTGAATCTGCTCTCAATATTCTAATCATTATTCTGCTGTCAACACCAGCAGGGGTGCTGCGAAAGTGCCCGGATAAAGACGTGAAAACCGTTACGTTGTTAACCTTTCTTTTCAAGAGGATACTGGAAAAATATTGTCTCAAATTACGTCCATCAGTCCTGACACAGAAAGAATATTCACTCAACAGGAGACTATTCGATTCGTTACTCCATTCATATACATGTGAATATTGTCTCTTGAAACGAATGATACCATAGTCTGGTATTAACTTCAGTTCAATTCTGTTCTTATAACCATTAACCATGCACTTTTGTGCGCCGGTTTTAGTTGCCCATTTGGATAAAATAGCAGAATGATGATTAGAATGTTCAGAGCAGATTTAAGCTGAAGGTAATGTTAACTTTAACACAAGCATCTAGGTTTCTGCTGATTCACACAGCGATTTTCTTTTTACCAGAAAAGTACAACTGTTCTAAGAGATATGAAAGCTAACCAGCAGTGATCAGAAATGGTTGAAATAAACACGACGTACAGATTTCCTGGGGCAACTTGAATTTTTCCAATTGATCTTGTAAACTATTGCGATCCGATTTAAGCGTCTCGATTTGGCTACAGACAGCGGCCAATTTTTGTCGTGCTGCTTCATTGCCAGTCGGGGAACTGCAAGAGTCGGTATTTTGGGATTTGATGGCTTCGCGAATCTCATCGTCGGATTTACTAAGCAATTCGAAGTAGTATGATTGTTCCTCAAATCGATTGGCCAACACCTGGTCGGTTTTCTTTGTCTGTGTGTGTGTGTGTGTGTGTGTGTGTGGATGGGCAAGGTAGAGGAGGAAATTAAAAGCATATGGCTTGCTTATTCGATCGCGTAAAAAGAAATTCATGAATACATAAATAAATAAATCTATTCGGTATAAATTCAGTCGAGTAAACAGTAATCGAAGGGGTGAATTTTCCGATTCTACACACTATATGTGGATAGAAAAACATGCAACCAGATAGTAAGCATAGTGAAAAACCCTTTAATCAAAGATGAATTTCTTTGAACTAAACAAACAGTTCCACAGAAGGCTTCTTCAGATCTATTAACAGAGTAGTCCCATACTTTCGGCGCTTTATTTATCCAACCATTACCTTGCACTATTGTGCAGTGGTTTCGTCTGCAATCGTTTGACTGCCAACTTGAATGAACGAGTAGAAGGAAGAAGTAGAAAGCCAGGAGCAGTACCAAGGAGAGGATGGACATTTCTGTGGTCTAAGGTTGCAAGGATATTTGGCAAAGGAACGACCCTTATCATTTACGATGCTCAGTCATGTTACTCAGTGTCTCCAAATATCAACCACACTGACCCCGAGGGGGACAACCGGGATGACACACAATCAGCATATCAAAGTGCTCTGGTCTGAGTTTTTATACTTTCATACCGGGTCTTGATTTTTTTACCATTTTTTTACCACACACCAGTGTGTGTTGAACAGCAGACGGGGCGGACCCCATAGTCACGAAGATCTGCTGTTGAGTGATGGTAACCGGCATCCTGTTCCCCGGGACTTGGAGTTGCGAACCAAATAAGGCCCCGCTAGGTCAGGTGTGGTATAGAACCAGGTGACAGCAAAGCAATCTACCACCGAAGTTGGATGGCGGTGGCGGGGTTTGAACTTCGGACCACAGAGTCCAAAGCACACCCGTGACAGCTACTAAACCACACACTAGTTGCCTCGGTAAACAGCGCACACCGTGGCACTTTCGTTGGTGTCACGCATCACACACGGTTCAATCAACGCAATCCATGAAGGTAAAACACTTGCTCCATTACAAGACCATGATCAACGAAAAATCGATATAACAAATGGTAAAGCAGAAACACGATATTCAGAAGAGCAAAGAGAAAGGTGTTTGACTACGGTGGACATGAATGACGTTGACGCCGATTTTGTTACGTACACAACGCTGAGTGCGTTCAAGTGTTTTGCAAACAAAAGTTGTCAATACATGAAGATATCTGTCAAGGATCGTGTAAAACGAGTGAAACAGTGGATGGGTGCAGTACATCGAGTAAGAGAGAACCAATGAACTCGCCGACTTTGTGGTTTAATCAGTGTAAAATTGAAAGTATTCGTAGTCCTATTGTCAAATATGACAGCTGCTTAACGGTACAAGATGCCTCTTGAATACGGGAGAATCAATCTGAAACCACTCGAAAAAGTCACACGGGGGTGCCCCGAGGTGGATTTCATGTTTCACATATCGCACACAATCAGACGCAAATGGAAACCGAGACAATAGGTAGGCTGGCACAGAGGAAATGACTCATCCGCCGGGCACAAATGGCCCAGCTCACATAAAACATACACACGTACACCTGAGGAAGAACCCCCTACACAAAATTGGCGATCGATAGGACCTGTCTTCAAACACGAGATTGTTTGACTGTTGAATTGGATTTTTACGCGAGTGTATGAATGGAATACGGCCAACCAAAACCGGCATAATCAGACGCACTGGTTATGGGACGCGTGGTGAGATCACATGGACGGGTATGAGACATGGCACCGTAGCTGGTTGCATAAAACAGACAGTTGGTGGGAGAGTCAGGTGAACTTAGATACATACAAACGGAGCTGGGTGGAATCGTTAGAGATGACAAACAGATTGGGAACTGTAAAATTGCAATATTATTATCAGCATCATAGTAGTAGTATCACTATTTTCCCGGCAGTTGCAAAAGGCCACAGAATCAATTTGCAGTCACAACTTGTTACGAAGTGCACATTCGCCATAAATGTTGGTTCTTTACAAAATGGGTTTAGATGGTTACTTAAATAAACTAAACAACACTCAAGTTCATTCATGGCGTTTTAAAAATAGGGGATCCGCGTAGCGACCAGCTGAGCGAGCGCAAACAGCTTGGATTGAAGGATAGTTCCAGCTGGTACAAACTTTGACGCCAACAGAGTAACACTGGCAGTCTAGTCAACACTTCAGTAGTGTCAGCTTTACGGAGAATTTGTGTAGAGGACAATAAGGATAGGTTGATGCAGTATTTGATCCAATGACGAACAGTTCTGAAGCGAGCGGTTGTGAATCGGTAATTACTCACCAGAGGATGAAATAGCTAGCGCCT